GCCGCTCCCCAGCCCGGACAAATAGAGAGGGAAAATGTTCTCTTGCTTCAGTTTCAGATGTACCATACCAAGTGTCGAATTTCGAAACTGCTACTACTTTAATTTCGAAACTATTCAACTCAAATCAATATCAACTCCGTAATAACAAGTAACAACGACTATTATACATAAAAGTCAGTAAATACCAATATTCAATACGTCTTCAACGACTATCATATATAATCAAACGAATACGATCCATACGAGTAAGAGAAAGCGAGTCACATGTTCAATATTGTCAACCGGATATCAATATATATTCAAAAACTACAATATCATGAATTATAGAAACTGAATATGTAATGGATTATCTGGATTGTAATGGATTATAATGAGTATCAATGATTAACGGATAATGATAATGATTAACTGAATGGATTGTAGTTATAGCATTATAATAGCATTAAACTATATCATAAGTTGAATGTTGTTCATAAGGAAACAACAGGTCATTATAATCTTCTACATACTACAAACATAAACTACAGCTCTTAATTACATAACATAACATCCTACTTGTTATATAGAATGCAGAACTTTTTTATTCTGCCGTTGATGACAAATAATTCCACCAACTTAATACAGTTCAGATTGCTAAAATCAAGACGGCATTTCGTTGGTATACATTTTCAGAATAGTTGAAGTCAGACGGAACATATCAAATTATGATAACGAGAACATGATATGCATGTTTATCACCTCGTACATGCAACTCGAATCGTAGTTGATGATGTTATTAGGTGGTATTTTTTGATTTAATATACATGATGTTCGATGATTTAATATAAATGATGTTCGATCTAACAAGTCGAAGTTGAGTGACCTGCCACACTATAATGAGTTTCATACTGATGTCTTGCACTGTAACATCAGTATGATGAAACGTCTCGCAAGACGTTTCATCATACTGATGAGACAAGACGTGACAAGTAACGATGAGACCAGACGTCATCATTTTTCTTTCAGAAATCCTTCTTAAATTAAAACAGTGAAAACATTCGAAATATTTCTTTCAAGAATTTCTGATTAAAAAATAATAATGAAATCTTTTGTTCCGAATTTCCGAAGCATAAAACTTACCTGAACAAAATTTCCGAAAAATCTATTATTCAAAAACGTTCATAACGAAAAACGTTCAAACTTTCGAAAGCTTCGGTTTTCTTCCTTTCTTTTCGAATTCCTAATATGCAGTATCTCTTTCCGAATTTTCAAAACCAAAATATCCAAAAAATCTTAACCAATAGTGATGCAATGTATTGGAACGAGCGTTACTATCTTCACAGAAACACCATATTCAAACTAACCGTGTCTTCAGGTTTGACCAGTAACATGGCAATTCTTTCACATCATTAGATTCCTCAGATTCTCTACTTTCAGAAATGTATATGTTGTCGAGCAATTTTGCTTACTTGAGGAGATACAGCTGATTTTCTGAAGCTATCTCAGGTAGCTCGGTGGCGCTCCTTCCAATACATTGTATCACTGTTGATCAATGTGCACATTACTATAGAGGAATTAGGGTGACCATCTTCAAACTAACCGTCTCCTCAGGTTTGCCCAGTAACATGCCAATTTCTTTACATCATTGGATTCCCCAGATTCTCTGCTCTCAGAAATGTCTATGTGTTGTCGAGCGATTTTGTTTACTTCAGGATATAAAGTTGATTTTCTGAAGCTATCTCAAGTAGCTCGGCGGCGCTCGTTTTAATACACTGTATCGCTATTAATCAATCTAAACATTACTGTAGTAGCATTAGGGTCACCATCAACAAACTAACGGTGTCCTCAAGTTTGACCTGGGACATAGTCATCTCATTACACCGATGCATTCCCCAGATTTTCTTATTTCCGAAAACCATACATGTTGCTGAGCGATTTTGCTCACTCTCAGAGAAATAGCTGTTTATCTAAAGGTATCTCAAGTGTCTCGACTTTGCTGATTTCAGTGCACTATATCTCTACTGATCAATCTGCACATTACTGTCGTAGTATTTAGAGCATCATATTCAGAAATTAATATGATCAGGAAGTACAGTGAGCAAATTTGATAAAATTGTGGGTGATCTGTATGTTTGAATGTTCGCTTTCGATGCGAATTTCTCTTAATTAAAATCACAAGTTTGTGTTTTTTATATAATCATTATCTCCATAATAATCAAATCCCAAATTTCGATTGCATCACATCTAAGCAATCGTCCATGAATCGTTCATGGCTGCTAAATAATTCCTATCAAGCTCACTTACACTCGTTAATCAAACCCAAAATAAATCCGTTAGAAATGACAAATTCAATGATTGAGTTACGCAATCAACACTTCAAAATTCGTTTGAATCCATTTTCATAAGTTCCATTTCTGACTGATTGCGAAACGATGTTCAACTGTTCAAACGGAAAAGTGGTTACGAATAATCATAAGATGAGGATAATGCGAGATGAGCAAAATATGTGTCATCAACGAAACAGATGCTACTGAATGTGCTCAAAGCATCGAATGTGTTCTCCACTCGCAAAGAAATTGAATGCGACCCTTACACACAACAGAGTACCCTTACAGCTATGTAAATGATCGAGAGAAGTTTTGACAGTAAATCTCCTTCTTGCTTTTATTCCTCCATTTTCTGTAGCATGCCAACGCAGTCATAAGTGAAGTGAATTTTGCAGTGAAATTCCTGATAATACCAAAAAAAGAACGGTAAAAATCTCCATTTGATGAACAAATTGCTTTTAAGAGCGATTTTGCAAAGCACTCAAATCAGTACAAATGATATTTTTGAATGTAGCACTCAAACAGACGTGGTGTACTCATTTATAAACACACTCATTTATGCAGACTCGTTTTTCATAGTCGTCTACGGATTGTATACTTTTTTGCACTTTTCGAATGTATTTCGTTTCATCTCATATAAATTTCTTTTTTTTTGCATTTTTACTTCTTTCTAACAACTGTTTTTGTTTGTTTGCTTGAGCAGAGATCCGTTTTATCGGAGCGCTGAGTCACACTCGCTGTCGAGTAACGAATGAGTGATTGGCTGCACAAAAAGACAAGCAATCGAGCCGCCTAGCCATCCATTATTTTCAAAATTTTGCACGAATCATTCAGTTTTTACAGTATTTGCGGGTGACGTGTCGTGAAGAAAAAAAAGAAGAAATGTTGTGAAATGCTAAGACAACGAATCAATCGAGTACATACAAAGAATCTGGCTGATTTAAACACAAAAAACGTCACTTCGCTAGAATGGTTATCGCTCATGATTAAATGATGAAATCTTAAAAGTGCTTTAAGTCTGGATTATTTCTATTGATTTGCATTGATTTTACTCTTCTAATTTTCAACTGTTACTGAATTATCTTTTTCTGTAAACTGTTTAGTCGAATTCAAACTCAATGTTGTGATGGAGCTTTGAAACAATTGAATCGTTTCGGATCACTGAAACTTGGTTATTTGAACTTCTAACCTTTCAGTATGAATGCTGCTGGCCTTTCAGCTAGTACCATTTATGATCACTCAAAAGAGCACTTCCAAGCGTTCACTACTGTCATTAAAAGGCCACACATACATCCCGAACGTCATGATAATTGGATAACAATCAAACCCAACAAGCATTTAGCGACTTTACTTCCTGTCCGTTCTGTTTATTCTACCATATCTTCCGTCGTTAATCATCTAATTATTTATGACACCAGATGAATGTCACACTTTCCTTACCTCGTTCCTCACTTATTTCAGACATATTGATTTATTGCCATCTCTGTTCACGCGAACGTTTCATGCATACTTCCTTCTTAATACGTAAGCAGTAGTGATGGAATCCCACTGACAGTCGGTCGAAAAAATCCGACAATTCCGGTCGGGATTCGGAATTCCGACTGTCTGAACAGCGAAATGCCAATTCGGTCGGAATACGACAGAACAATTTGGAAAGTTGGTCGAAATTCCGACTGTCGAAATGACGAAATGCCAACTCGGTCGGATACCGACCAAAAAAAATTTCGCTCGGACCCCATCACTAGTAAGCAGTAAACGACCGTTTTTGGAATATTTGGCAATAACGAAAAGTTTCATAAATCAACAGAATCACTTATCATCTTAATCCTCGTTCTAGCTTATACTCGATGAAAGTTGATAAGATAGCGACGAAACATAACCATTGATATGTTCTAAACATTGAATATGGAAAGGAGCATTGATCACTTCCTGATCAACTGTAGATATGGTAATAAAACATTTTGATAACGATGATCTACCGATCACGATCTGCTTCTTAAGCTGCTCAATTTCAAACTTCATTCAACAAGCTCATCCAGTTGAATCGCTTTTCTCCAAAACATTGATGACTTTTGGGAAATTTGTTCAACAGTTCGAAAAAAAATTCATAATTCATGCGTTTTCTTACAAATAAACTCATGACTACACCAATAGCAATAGCGTTGTTCCACTCTTGTTGGTATTTCAGCCTGATAGAAACTTTTCATAACCGTACGAATCGTTAAGAATCAACTATGTGATGATTTCTTGTCAGTCAGTGATTAATCACTGTTTGCAGTAAGCCATCATTTGGGATGAGCTGGTGAAAATCGTGTAGCATCGATAGAAATGGCTAATAGTAAGATCACACAGGTGATAATATATGATAATTTATTACATTTTCGGTCAATGATAGTAATGGTACATTGGTTTCACTGCATCGAAGCCGATTCCCATTGAAATGCAAGGATTTGTTCTAGGCATTCAAACTCTTCTACAGAAGCATTTTCTTGTTTNACGTTTCAGAGTATCTGATGAAACCCATTCCAACACATCAGTAATAATGATGTTATAAACAACGGCAATACAAACCGTACGAATGTTATCAAAAGAGAAGTAATTCAGCTGAATGACTGAGACAAATTGACGATAGAAGTAAGTGGATCACATGGTGATAGAGACAGTATTTTGATGACATTTCAATGAATTCAGTGTTCAAGGAAGACTTTTCTCTTTACAAATTTGCATGTAGCTGGCTTTTAGCGTTGTGAACATGAGTGCAATTTGACCTCCGGCACGTAGTTGAGGTGCCGCAAAATCGGCAATAAGGCGTATTTCGGCGCCCAAATGCTGCAGTTGTGCTCGAACCGTAACGTACATGAACGCTGGNAGTAGATCATCAGTTGTCCACACATGATTTTCACCGGCTTCAGCGAATCTGCTCACACACTGAAAATATTTATCGTATTCAATCAAGTTATAGGCTCAACTATTTGAGATTACAGGCCATTAAAATATTATCAGCATGATCATTCTGCCGTCAAGAAATGCCTGCAAATGCTTTTAGTGTCGGTGTAAAACACTTTCAACTTCAAGATGACTGTCGAGAAAATGGATCCCAATGGATATCATGCCAAATGTCAACTTGTAAAATGTTCTATTATGCTCGGTTGAATTTTCCATAATTGCCACCTATCATCAGAATGTTCGTGCTGGATGCATTTACGCACACCTTAATTTTGAGTCAGCATGAATCCCATGAGTATAAGTAACGTGTAAGTAACAGCTAATTGAGTAACGCTTTGTGGAGTGTTCGTTCATTTAAAAGTTAATTTTCGATTACGAAGACCCTCATGATAAGAACTGAAAGTGCTCTTTCATAATAAAAAGATAGCTAAATAAGAAGAATTAAAGAAATAAAGTCTCTTCACGAACAAATTATTAATTTTCATTTCATCAAATATAAAGCACACCTCAATAATATCACTGCTGACGTTCTTTGCCACGAAAAAAGACAAGAAACACAAGATTTTGACAACAGCTACGATAATGAGTTCATGGAGTTTTTTTTCGGAATTTTAGATAAATCAGATGATATATGAAGCGTAATGAAATTGCACTCTGGTTTACAGGTTTGCATATTTAATCAACAGATTTCATGTGTTCCACACACATGGATTACTGCATAGAAGCGGGTGACATATCGTTAGCGAACACTTTCAAAGTTTCACGTAGTAAAGTGATTAGTCGTAAAGTGCATTTCTTCCATAGGTTTCAAATCATAAATAATAATGACTTTGTTATTTATCGGGTGAATACAATTGTTGAAACGACAAAAGAAGTGCATTTAAAGTGCATTGNACGTCGTTAAGTGATCAGTCGTAAAGTGCACTCTTCAGTAGATTTCAAATCATAAATAATAATGACTTTGTTATTTATCGGGTGAATACGATTGATGAAACGACAAAAGAAGTGCATTTAAAGTGCATTGTAAAAAGAACACGCAAACTAAAGTACAGTTTTGCATGATTGCCGATTGATGAAAAAATTTATGGAGTTGTTGATGTAATGCTGAGCAAAAGCTAATCAAACGTCTTGCTTCCTCCAGAACTCCGAATATTTCTCTTTTTTCGGCTCCGTTTTAGACGCCATAAGTTCCTTCATTTTCATTCATTACCCCCATCCTCCCCACTTTTTTACGTTGGTAGAAAATGGCACTTTTAAGAAAAGCTGCTAAATGTGAAATTACAATATGATGATACTTNAGAAACCCATACCATAAAGAACACAACAGGGTTACGTGACGCAATAATATTTACGTTTATTGAATAAATTTGCTCCCTCTGTTTTCTTGATCTTCTTGATCATTTTTTGTTCAGAGGAAATCTTTTTCATTCTAGCAGTCGTGACTTTTTGGAAATTTCTCATAGAAACGCATAAAAGTGTGAAATAAATGCGGAACAGTGCAAATGCGGAACACAACGATGAAATTTTGCTTTGAATCTTGTTTTCGTTTTCATGTTGCCTTCGTTGATCAAGTGAGAAATTCTGCAAAAGTGGAAATTTTTCGAGTTTTTCCGATTTTAACGCAATTCTTGTTATAGATCAAAGCGCTCAACATGGAATAGATGAGTGACTATTGCGAATTGTAAGATGAATGCATTTTTTCCCTTCTCTGTCCCGTCATGATGTCATGTTGAAGAGAGGATACTTTTATATTTGCAAAAAATATTTGCTTCTTGGAATGCCGTGAGTTGCAGTTTTTTTTTTGATTTCTCTTAAGAAGTTATGCTAGCGGTTAGTTGGTTATCTTGCCCATTATCGAATTCTGTTCTGAGTTTCTCTCATTTTTTTTGCCGCAATTCCCCTTCTTTTCTCCAATCGATTTCCAATCTGCTAAGTTACTTCGGTTTCTTTGCGTTGTTCACATACAGAAGCAAAAACCTAACAATGAGGTGAATTTCTTTCATAATAAATATGAACTTATTCAATGAATCATTAATTCGTTGCACGAAGGGAAGTAAATCAAATGCAATTGGATACATGCGATAATGTGAAGAGAAGGAAGTGATTAGTATTTATTTGATTGTTGTTACGAAACTGATTCTGCATGAGTTCAATAATCGTGCGTAGCATTTGAGTTGTAGTGGGCTGCAGTAAGTACATCTTTAGATGTGAGAAAATGCACGACGGCATTTTTGTATTCACGATTCTTATTGGTGACGACGACTGACTACAACGAATAATGAGGATTGTTTGAAACAACTGAAATTAGATACTCTCTCGGTTCGATTGCAGTGGATCGGTTGTGAATGAACACCGAAAATGCGGAGAGAGGAAAGACGAAAGGATGAAATTGATACCAGTGGAAGACGTTTAGTTATTGTGGCCGTTAAGGGTTATTTATCTTTATGGGAAGAAACGATTGGATAGATGGATAGATGGATGGATGGATGGATGGATGGATAGATGGATGGATGGATGGATGGATAGATGGCTTGAATGTACTTTCCAAACAAACATCACCATTGTGTGTGTGTAGATTTTGGATACGAATAATAATAATATCAACGATTTCATCGCATCATTCTATTTTATTCTCATATTCCGGAGCATGCAAAGTAGAACACATGTCAATTGATTATTTCGAAAAAAACACATTCATCCGTTCAAATCTAAGCTTATCGATATGATGGAAATATGGGCTTAACGATCATGGAGGAAAAGTTTTATGGGAGTGCGATTGACGCAGAATTGACGCAGGCAGCATCGTTAGATTCTATGAAATATGGATTTAATTGATTGACTTTTTGCGCCTATTATGCTTACGCCAGCAGCAGCAGCAGTCATGCTCTCCGAAACGATTGTAATCATAAAAGCAAGCTTTTCGATGGTTAAAATGTCATTTGAAGTGCTATCGTTCGGCATGAACGTTCGTTCTCTAAGCTTAATTCTGCTAGAATTTGAAAGCATTTGCGTTTCTATGATCCCATCGGTGAAGCAAATAACGAACATATACGGCGCTAAATGCAAACAAATATGACGATTAGGAAAGGATGCATTGTCGGAGTGGTAATCACCAAGAGTTATTTGGCAATTCAGCGATCATATCAGACCATCGAACTTGTACTGATCGCATGTCATAAATTCTCCAAGGAACGAGTACTACTCAGTGAAGTATTCCAATGATAAGCACATGCAGAATGTGTATTCCGCACGGCTTTCTGATTGCCATCTTCAGTGTACTTGCTTATCAAAACACTTGCAAAATTCATCAGCAGCTTTGCTGGCTGCCTGGCTCTTCGATAAACCTAACTCACAATGCAAACCGAATGAATTTAGAAATATTACACACTCTGTGTGAAAATTTGTACTTTTGCTAATAGATTTCAAGCTTCAAACCATACTGGAGTCGAGGAACCACGAAATTTGGGTGGTCGAGCTTCTACTGCTTAAAATTCCTTTCAGTTTGCATTAAATCTTAGTTTTGAACCATTTGAACCAATGCTCTCTCTTTCAATTACTATTTGTTCTAAACACTCATGACAGTCATCATGTTTTTGCACCGCTTACTCATTTCATGAAGAAAAGCATGTCACTTTCCAGTGTAAGAGCAGGATGTTATCAGTGTGTGTGTGTTCAACAAAACACCATCACTTTCAACCACTTCCACGGAAATCCAAATCAGATCCTCAAATTTTAAAACAGTAATCAGTTCTTGCCGTTGCACCCAGCAGAGTGCATCTCAAAAATGCCCACAAACGAAATGCTCTGCAGTCATTTATTTGCATTACCCTTTTTACCACAAAACTATATCAGACTCATGTATTTGCACTCAACAGCAGCAGTAGCAGGCAGCAACATGAGAAAATGGAATATTTATTGCTGTTGTTACTGCTCACTGGTGCAATCAAATACTCACTTCTGTGCTGCTCATTTTAGCGCATAAGTGCACACGTACCCAGTTAAAAACAATAGCGAAAAAAAAAGAATATGCAAAATGTAATGCAAACCGAAAAAAAAGCAATGATTGATGAATGTAATCTTGGATAAAATATTGTTTAGATGAGATGAAAGAATCAAATTGTGAATGAATGGGACTAGCGATTGGAATGACTGATGTGTCATTATAAAGTACATCATGAAGGAAATTTTTTTCTCTCTCTAAGCCAGTGGTTCTCAAGTTTTTTTGCCCTTGTACACCCAGTAGAAAATTTTAAGATACTTTCGCACCCCTACAGCGATAGTTTATTTAAGAATGAAACGTGACCGATAAATTAGTTTTAAGGTGTAGTCTTCTTTACACCCATGTATGTGTTGAACTCTGTCCTTGCCTACTTTAATCTGTAAAAAATGAAAGTTGACCTCGCACCACCTCTTAAACCCCATTCACATCACACCCTCTCTCACCGCACCTCCTCTGGCACCTCGTGGCATGTCATCTCACATCCCCCCCCCCACCCCAAGAGAAACCCTGCCCTAAGCGAACACTCAGACTCAACAAGTGAGTAGTCAGGAGTTATGAATAAATTTTTGAATGAAAAACTTTCCAACAAATTGAATTAACTGCGAAACTGATGTAACAGAAACGTTAATTTGGCTCAGATATTGATATCAGCAATATTTTTTGTGAACATTTGAATGTGTTTTGTTTGTTGGTTAGAATGATTGCACACTTGGATCGAAAACATGCTCATGAAATCGTTAGACGGCTTGTTTTCCACTATCAAAATACGTCGGTCGTGTGCAGAAATGAGTTTTGCTCTACTGATATGCTTAGTTGAGGTGGAGGAAATTTGTGAAAATTTTGAAATTATACGATGAGAGGAGAAAGGTAAACAACTGCAAATTAATGACTGAATGAATTAATGCACTGAAAGTCTTATTCGAGCAGAACAACGATGTTAAGTGATGAGTATTGAAGGTTTCGATGGTTCAGATGTAGTAAACAAGTGGAATGATAATGCAGTGATCAGGGTGTTTCGCTGTTGACAAATCAGATAAAAACAAGTCAAAGTGCATCACCCTAACAGCCAACGAAATTCACACAAAAACAACACCAACTGTTTTACTGCTAAAACTGCCTAATGCGCTCGATTTGAAGAAACTGATGAATTGATAAGCTGATCCAGTTACTCCTCTTCCTATTGTTGTTTTTATTGTTATTGTTGTTATTGTTGCACTTCAACTTTAAATCATCGTTCAAAGTTTCGCACCATAACCTGATACTTGCCCATCTCTCATTACAAAATCAATAGATCACTTGCTTAAAACTATCAACAACTGCACATGATGAGTCTCTGCCGGATTTCTTAGAGACACTTACAGCTAGTAGCGTTGTAGAAATGGAACATTAGCTAGTTTCGCAATAAAAACGAGAGTGCAATTTGGAAATAATCAGTTTTTCAGCGTTCTATCAGCAATTTCATGGGTACACAACTCGAGTACGTTCACATTATAATCAATCATTTTGTTGTTGCGAATAAAATACGCACATTTTTGGATGAGTAAAACCGAAGATCCGTGCATTGTTAGCCATATAGATATTTTTCTGTTACGAAACCGAAAAAATAGAGTGATTAATCAGTGAAGTTTCGTACTTATGAGATATCTTCATTACTCAATAGCACGATCAATTGATCTTTTCATAGTGTTCCGACCTCAATAAAATTAATTTGTTCAACGTATTAGAGTGATTACTGCTCTTACTTTAATCAGCACTACATCAATCGCATAACCAACACAGTATGAATACGTTTGGTATATTATCTGTTTCAGCGAACTGGCAATTAATTGTTACGATTCGAATGTTTTTTACCGTTTTAATTCATTCTGATTAGATGTGACTTTAAAAAGATTGGATATTGAACACGGAACTTTTCCGAACAGCAGCTGAATGGCCGAAAAAACAAAACGCATTTCTGTTGACATGTTTTCAGCGAACGCGATTGACATTCAAATCATTCTCCATTAAGTAACGAACACACAGAAAAATGCCCTCGAAGGATGACGTTAAAGCAGTTTTGCTCTCAGAAAAAAAAATAAATAAAAAGCTTAAAACGTTGCTCTTTCCCGTCCAATCGCATTCATTCATCTCGTCTGAGCAAATTCTGAGAATACTTCCTCAATGAATGAATGAATTGAAGTTTAAA